TTGGCAAGTTTTCATAAACCAGAAATGATGCTCTTTTTTTAGAAACTTAGATCATTTTAGTTATTCTAAACTACAATTTTAAGGTTTAGTCAGCTAAAATTGTATTCCTGAGTTCTATTCACATGTTGTTTCCATGTGTGTATTTTAAATTAATCTAAAAATACTTAAATTCAGTGGAAAAACAAACAGCTTATGTCATTTTCTGATCAAGCGCTGTTAACATAACAGTTATGGTCACAAGTAAAGGTTGCAGTTTCAGTGCTGAATTTTTAGAGCACCCTTCATGCAGGGCATTTCAAAATCCTTCACAATTGCTGGTGTACTACTATTTCTGTACTTTGAATTCTATGTGGCATTGCCAAGGCAGAAGTGACAAAAGAAAGCAGCTAATAAGACATTTCATTAGTGTGCTTTTATAAGGTATTATTCTGGGCAAAATTTAGAAGGCTGAATTGAGGAAATTAAAGGAAGCAGACAAAATAGTTATTACAGAAAATAGCCAATGTCTGCCAGTTATGTCTCCTTATAATTAACAAAAGACAAGATTTACTGTTTTAGAAATGAAACAGCAGAAGTTTAGGCTTAATGGTCATTTCCTTGCCTCATTGTTTTGTCCAGTATATTGTGTCATAGTGTGACTGAAGTGCATTTCTTGATGCTATAATTTTTTGCTGATGTTATGTTTGATGAAAGAATGGAGGATGTGCAACTGGAAGAACTGACAGGAGTTAAATTAAGTGCTTCGAGTTATCCTAGGGTCAGATTCTCCTGCAAAGGAAAACCAGTTAAACGACACGTGAGCACCTGTCATAGGGTCCATAAGTAATACTGTTAAGAACTGGAGTCCAGGTGATAGAAAAAGCTCAGGTAATACTGTGCTGAAGAAGGGGAGAAAGATGAACACTATGTTTCATAAGTTTGAACCTTCCCTTTGCACCAATCTAATGTGCTTTTATTGTATTTCCTCATTTAACTCAAAATATTCTCCTCTACCAGCCTGGTTAGCTCTTGTTGACTATAGAAAACTACATGGAGAAAAGGCTGATAGAATGACAGATGATAGAAATCTTAACTTTGGCTCCTTTTTACTATGTGCTATTGCTTCAAGGATGCTGTAGCTTGGTCTCTTTTTTTTTTTTTTCTTTAAAAAGGGGAAAGAGAGGATGGATTTAGTCATTTTAGACCTGACTACATTCTCAGACAGTTCCTTTGTTAACAGTCTAATGAGATTTGCTAAATCATACTCCTCAAGGCCTGATTTTGCCTGGAAGATAGATGACTATCTCAGTCTCCAAAAAACTCCCGTAGCACTTCATATAAGGCCACCTTTCAATCCTATCTTTTGTAAAATAAATATGGGAAAGGAAAGAAGGAATCATAAAGCTTTTATAGGAGCATAGGATAGAAAACTTGGTCTGTTTAGGCTCCCCCTTTTTCACCTTTCTTTGCAGATAACCTCTTACATGAGCATATCTAAGGCCATGGAAATAGATGTACAAAGGATACACATATTTAAACATACAACATCTGTTTAATCCAGTAGGATATGTTCAGTGTTTTATCTTGGCTTTATATTTTAAAGAAACAAAATATGCTTGTTTCTTTAAAATTCTCTATTCAGTAGGCCATAATGCTACACACAAAACTAGGAAGGTCTTGTGGTAAGGAAAGGGGACTATCAGCAGATGCGGCACCCATCTCCCTTCTCAGGATGAGGTCGACAGTAACCCATGGCATGTCAGGTTATTTACATTAAACATGCTGACATTCAAGAAAGTATCTGGACCCAATGTCATATAAAGAGCCAGGAAGTCAAAACTGGGGCTACATGTGAGCTGGCCACAGTGGTCAGTGAAAGGTGGACCAGGAGAGAGCCTGTATGGTTTCTGGTCTAGTGCATGTTGCAGATAGTAGATGATGAACAGCTGAAAGGCAAGGCATGAAGGGCATAAAATCTGTCTTGCTCCCAAACACTAACACTATAGTTCCCTGAACGCTGTTTACAGAACCTTTTTGTGTATATTATTACATGGCTTTCATCAGTAACATCTATGCTGAGTTATTGTAGAGATAAATTAATTTGTATTTGAAATGGCTCAGCATATTCGTAGAGGAGAAAGAAAAGGTCAGCTAAGGTACCTGTTTTCTCTTGCAAGCACATGTGAAATCTAACTGTGCCATGTTTGCAGACATCTTTAATGTAACAAATTATTTATGCTAAAATAATCCCTTCAGTTTTATGGCTGACATAGCAGTTACTGAGACTTGACACTATTTGAGGTTTCATAATCACTTCATTTTGTGAAAAAAACAAATGGATATATGTATGTTTGAACTCTAGTTACAATACCTCTCCTGCATAATGTTCTAATGCAGAAATACGCAATGATAATGAATTCGTGTTGAACTTCACTTGTAATTGCTCTTGGTACTACCAGCACATTTTTATCCCTTTGACTAATCCAGAAGCTGAACTTTTCTGTGGGAAAAAATGTTATTTTTAGTAAATGAGTCAAAGCGAACCAACTTATGCTAACATTCCCAAACATAGGTGTAGCTAAAAGACGACGATTTCTTCCTTACTAGGTTGCCAGACTCTCGTGTGGACAGTAAGTTCTCAATGTGTTGCTAAGCAGAATTGTATTAAAACACATTGCGTCTCGGTGACTGAACTGCCTGAGATAAAGCACTGAATCATTTGCAGCACTCACAGTATTTCTCTTTCTGCTCAGATCTAGAAACCAGAAGTAACAAATACTGCTTCCAAGCAATAATGTCAATCTGGAATAAGTGGATTAAATAGCATTTTACACATTTAAGGAATTTTACATTCGAATTAAAGCTTTTTTCCCCTCTCTTTTACTGAGTTTTGTTAATATAATTGTTCCTATCATCCATATAATTTGAGCAGGGAAGAAGTCTTTAAGATGGGATCAGTGAAGTTTTCAGAGTTTCATCAATGCTTGCCAACCAGCAGCATCTCTGCCATTCTGGTCGCTTACTTACACTAGCTTAGTTTCTTAACGATCAGCTACTCGTTGCAGACTCGTTGTGGCCTGTGAGAACTCATACCCGTGAGCGCTGCAGTTTTCTCTGAGTTTCTCTCAGTTATCTAGGAACTTCTTATCTGAGTTGAAATAAGGCCTGTATTTATCTCTTTGAATACTCGACATATAATTTCTCTCACTGAAGTCTTGGATTGTTGCCAAATCCTGACTCTCCCATTTCTTGATTCCAGAAAGCAGAGTCAATGCTGCCAACACTTTTGATAGAGGTACTTTTAATAAAGCCCTGAAGTCATGTGACTATGAGAATCTCAGCTCTCACTTCAAAACAAAGTTTCAGGCGGTCATGGTTGTGGAGAAAAAACAAAAACATTGAATTTTAATGTCTTAAAAGCAAATAGAACTTCCAGTTTATATGTTTGTTTTAAATATATGATAATTTCTGGATTTGGATAATTTTTAAATCCTTCTGCACAGTAGTGCAGATTTAATAATGATTTATTTAGCCTTTCAGTTTGAGCCTAGGCATAAAACTATCCTAAACCACAAATTTCTAAGGTACCCCAAGATCTCTGCTGAGTGCAAATAGTAGAAAAATGTTTAGATTCCAAGCACACGTTCGAAAACACCAAGGAGAAAATGTTTTATTTACCATTAACCTGCCAGCTTGAAATTCAGCAAGTCACCTCCAGTACCAGCATGCTCAAGCATGCTAAATATCTTCCTCTCCAGTAGCACTGTAACGAAATGTCTCTGACTGGGGTATTGAACTCAAATGACTTGTGAAGAACAAATCACAGTTTGACTTTCTGTGTAATCTCTCACATAGCAGTACGTTTTTACCCTTCTCAGGAGAAACAATTTCTCACTTCAGTATTTTCCAGTTAATTTCAATGACTGCTTTGGTTTGTTTTTGCTTTTTTTTTTTTTCCACTTTCAGTCATTCATGCGTAACTTTCCTTCTGATTTCAGTAATTCCTTCACTAACATTGCCCCTGTTAGTTTCAGTAGAGTAAGTACGATGAAATTTGCTTAAAATATATTAATTGTAGGTTTTGTTAATAGTGAAATGAAATGTGGAACAGGTATTAAAATGAATGAATATGCATTAATGAATATAATTTAATTCCTTGATAAAAGAAAAAGACTATTTTTGTAGAAATTATCTTTAAAATATTTTTGCATTAATATGGCCTGGGTGACAAGACTATATTTGAAGAAGTAAAATCTTAATTTAAGTAATAAACAGAGGCAGTAAATTTTATTTGATTCTTTGTTTAAAATGTCCTTAAGAATATTCATAAATGCACTACAGCTACAAAGAATAATCACTTCATCTTTTCTGTATTTCAAGTTAACTTTTTAACTCCTAAATATATTCCTTACGAAAATTATTACGGGAATTAATTGTACTAAAGTAGAACAAACTATGTATATGGCACAACATAGGGTGCTGGGAAAAACTGGCTTGTCCTCTCAGCCTCACAGGCTAAGGACAGCAG